CATAGTTACAATTATCAATTGTAATAATTGTAATACAGTATTTCAAATTTTATTATATAATAAAGTATGCCAACTGGCATCCTGCGGCATTCATGCCAAGGGTATAAAAAAAAAAAAAAAAAAAAATTTATTATATATATAAAGGCATGCCCTAGGCACAATAAGAGGAGCATGCCTTAGGCAAAGGCATGCCCAAAAAAATCTCCGTGCCCACAACCCTAGCGGGGTCACACATTACATTTAGATTCTGGTGCACTGCAGCACCCTAAAAATTTTTTAATGTACGCAATAAAAATTGCTTCTAGAAAAACTTTATTTGTTTCACAATTATTTTATAATTTAATTTCATTTTGATTATTAACAAGTTAGCTGCATAATAAATATAGCGCACATCAAGCTTAAAACATATATGAATTTAAAAATTTTAATGTGCGCATTTCATCCATAATTTTAAAGTATATGTGCGCAAAGCGTCTATACTATTAATCTTTAAAGTGCGGAAAATTTTTTTAACGTGCGTTTCTCCCCTTCCGCACATTGATTTTAGACACTGAGCTAGACAAACACTCAACATTAAACACGAGCACGTCGGGATTTATCGGGTTTAAATAATTTTAGTTCAGATTTTAGGCTAAATTGAACCTAAGTTTGGATCATTCAAACCTCGTTTAAAATTACTGTTTGCTTAATTTTTCACTCTCCTCTCTGCACAAAAACCAAAAAAAGAACGTTAACCGAAATTTAAATCCAAACGGTCTAAATAATAATGACTCTTCAAAAAGCATTATTTTCTCAAAGTATTACCAGTAATTCACTTACCTTTTAAAAAGAAAAAAATGTTTTTTATAAAAAAAAAAAAAAAAAAATTAATTGTATATCGCTATAGGATTTTTTGCAACAGTAACCTGATTAGTTCTATTCAATTTCACAACGTGCGCAACTGGTTGATCATATGCTAACGTAGTACCATGTTACATATAAATTATGCATATATCGATATAATACGTTCTAAAACTTTTTTTTCTTGTTTTTAAAAAAATGTCAAATAATCTACCTGCAGAGAATCAAGAAAAAATAGAAAGTTTATCGAATAATATTACCCAAATAACAGATAATTTTAATCAATTATACTTAGGAGATAATAATAAATCTCTAGATTATTTTGATGAAATTATTCAAGAATTATTTAATCTATATGATAAAGAAAGGTCAAAAGGAAAAAATTCAGAATTAATTTTGAATACTTTGAATCAATTTTTATTAAAAAATAAGCAAAATTCGAATGATGTAATTAATTGGTGTTTAAATGATCAAATTAATCCTATGGCTAAAATTCTTCTTGGAAGTTGTTATCGTTTTGGTAAATGGGTTGAAAAAGATGAACAGAAAGCATTTATTTATTATCAAAAATCTGCTGATATGGGTTATGCTCTTGCAATGAATAAAGTTGGTTATTGTTATGATGAAGGGATTGGTGTTGAAAAGAATGAACATAAAGCATTTATTTATTATCAAAAATCTGCTGATATGGGTTATGCTGGTGGAATATTTAATGTTGGTTATTGTTATGACGAGGGTGTTGGAGTAGAAAAGGACGAATATAAGGCATTTATTTATTATCAAAAATCTGCTGATATGGGTTATGCTGGTGGAACGAATAGTGTTGGTTATTGCTATCAAAATGGAATTGGTGTTGAAAAGGATGAACACAAAGCATTCATTTATTATAAGAAATCTGCTGAGATGGGTGATATTAATGGGATGCATAATATTGGTTATTGTTACCTTCATGGTATTGGTGTTGAAAAGGATGAATATAAGGCTTTCATTTACCATAAAAAATCTGCTGAATTGTGTGACATAAGGCCGTAATTCGAATTAGTTTTAGAGAGATGTTATCTTAGTCCAAATAGCAGACCATTGACCAGACCGCGGTTCATCAAATTACCGTAATTTAGTTTTGATCCATTCTATGAATAAAAATCCGGAATTGGTCAATTCAATAACTAGAATTAAATAGGATGAAATGTTATATCCAGTATTTTATTGGTGAGGTATAGAGGTAATTTCACGAAATATAAGCCTCATGATTAATCTCAATTGAGCTATTTATCTATTAAGTTTTATTACATCTTATATAAACATTCTTGCGTACATTTATGAGTCAAGTAATGAAATTCTTAAGTGCAACAATATATGGGCTAGGTGCTAAAAAAGGACAAAAGAAAGATCTTCGGAAAATCAATTTTTATATTATAAATCTTATAATAAATCATAAGAAAATACAAACTTTAAAGAGCTATACTACAAAA